CCAGACCCAGCAGGTTGAGGCTGCAGTGGCCATGAGCGTGCCACTGCACTCCAGCCTGGGTGACAGTAAGACTTCAACTCAAAAACAAACAAACAAACAAAAACCAAATGGTAAAGTTTAAGTTCCATGAGGGTAAAAAACTAAATCTCTATATGCACCCTTAATTAACTGGTAACAACTGTAATAAAAGTGAGCATAAATGAATCACTGGGCCATTAGCCAAAAAGTTCAACTCAGAAAAATCCAAGGCACCTTGTGCAGGTTTTTCCTATCACAGTTACATCTGTTTAACTTCTCTCTCTTGATGAGCCACACAGAAAAAGTTCTAAAAGTATGCATATTTTTTCACACTCTTCTATGGAAACCAGAAATACACCAGTATCTGTCCAAACAAAGCTATCTTTCAAAGAGAACTACAGGAAATAGACATGCAATATCTTTAACTTCAGAGCTTTATAGAATCATATCATGTCAGTTTACAAGACCAAAGGGATATGTCTCCTCCTGGAAAAGACCTGTTATGATTAGCAGCCTGGGAAGGAGATTACAAACAGGAAGGCAGGAGGCCTATTGTTGTCCTTTACTTTGTACCCAGGACAAGACCACAGTGAGAAAATGGACTAGAAAGCTTTGGCTTTAAGAAAGTCTCAGTTGGCAGACTCTTCTTGGTCATTTATTCCCTGCACAAACTCAAAATGGGAAAGAAGAGAGGAAAAAAGAAAACTGCATTCATATATGGTCTTGAAAGGGAAAAACAGTCAGTTCTAAGCCCTAGGAGCTATACATAATTGGACAAATTTTGGAAAAACATTCATTAGAGCAGAGCTGCACATACTTATAAAATCTTGCCTCCATATCAGATTCACAATCAGGTCTGATTTTATCAAATGCTGAAATTATATTTACCCACAAACGTTCAGATTTTACAAAGTAACTCTAAAAATTAAAAACTTAGAAATATTTCTTAGAGGCTGAGCACGGTGGCTCATGCCTATAATCCCAGTACTTTGGGAGACCGAGGTGAGAGGATTGCCTGAGCCCACGGGTTCCAGACCAACCTAGGCAACTTGGCAAGACCTCATCTTTACAATTAAAAAAAAAAAATTAGCAGGGCGTGGTGGTGTGTGCCTATAGTTCCAGCTACTTGGAAGGCTGAGGCAGAAGGATCACCTGATCCCAGCAGGTCAAGGCTGCGGTGGCCGTGAGCGTGCCACTGCCCTCCAGCCTGGGCAACAGAGTTAAACTCTGACTCAAAAAAAAGAAATATTTCTTAAAAAAATTTCTTAGGCAGGGAATTTCAAAATAGACATTTTGTTTTTCTCTCTTATTAATGTAATGAAAAAAACACTAGTTTCATTGAAGCCACATTTGATTCAACAAGTTTCAAAGGGAAAATTATAAAAAATAACAAAAAATAAAATGTGTTAAGATTTTTCTTAGAAAAGCCTATCAGAAATGTTTTGAATATTCAACTCAAGAAGTTATAAAAATTAATTCATTAAGAAACAGAGTTTAAGCCGGGTTCGGTGGCTTAGCCTGTAATCCCACGCCTTGGGAGGCCAAGGTGAGTGGATTACCTGAGCCCGCGGGTTTGAAACGACCTGGGCAACTTGGCAAGATCTCATCTCTACAATAAATCAAAAATTAGCCGGGCATGGTAGTATGCGCCTGTAGTTCCAGCTACTGGAAGGCTGCAGCGGAAGGATCGCCGGAGCCCAGCAGGTCGAGGCTGCGGTGGCCAGCAGCGGCCACTGCACTCCAGTCTGGGTGACAGAGTGAGACTCCAACTCAAAAAAAAAAGAAACAGAGTTTGAGCTGGGCACATTGGCTCAGGCCTATAATCCCAGCACTTTGGGAGGTACAAAGTGAGAGGATTGCCTGAGCCCACGGGTTCGAGACCAGCCTGGACAACTTGGCGATATCTCATCTCTACGATATATCAAAAAAATTAGCCCGGGCATGGTGGTGCATACCCGTAGTTCCAACTACTTGGAAGGTTCAGGCAGAAGGATCACCTGAGCCCAGCAGGTCAAGGCTGCGGTGGCCGTGAGCATGCCACTGCACTCCAGCCTGGGTGACAGAGTAAGACTCCAAATCAAAAAAACCAAAAAACAAAAAAGAAACGGAGTTTGAATGAAAGCAAAGGGCACAAAGAAGGCAGGCATGCCATCTCTCTTCTGGTCCTATCCCCGTCTAGGATGTAAGAAAAGATGGATTTACAGGCACATGCTGAACCCCGTTATTGATCATTTCCAGATCGGCCTTACAATGCCAACACATGTGCAATTTTCATATTCCACTCTCAAATGGTACATTAACAATTCCACTTGCTTTATAACCCAACAACCATACCAACAGAATTAGAAAGCACCACCTCACTTCTTAGAGGAACACAGGAGCTAAGATTTTGTTATGACTAAGCTAAGTGGACAAAATGCCAGCCTTTGGCATATCGAAATCACCATATCACTGAAGAGTTATTCACTACCTGTAAAATGATCACTTATCTACCTAATCCTGAACTGTACCCCACACCTTCTAAAACAAATAAATTTTAAACGCTTTTTAAAAAAAGTTATTCAAATCCAATCACCACACTTTCACTGGGCTCATGACACAAAGCCGCCTGTTCAGTGTTGGCAGAACAGCTGCTTCCAGCAGTGACAGATATGAGCAAGGGATCTGGTGACAATCTAATTTCAGCTACCTTGAGATTCCACAAAGATGACAACCTGCGTCCTCGGAAATACTGCTGCAAGCCTCCCCACGATCCGAAAGCTCGGGTTCACTTATTCTCTGCACGCCGGCCACTCTGGAAATCTGCCCAGCCGAGGCAACACCCTCACTCGAGGCCTCCATGCTGGTAAAGCGGCCTCGGCAACCCTCCCAGCCGCCTGTGCACATGTGAGGCATCAACAGGCCTTCCACGGCCACGCACTGGACGCAGAGGAGTACACAAACACGGGATTTCACCCCAACGAGAACGGAATCCTGGAGGCAGTTTACCTTGTGAGCTCATTCAACAGTGCATCGAGGAGAATGTGATTCGGGGGCTGAATTCTGGGTCCGAGGCCGGAAAGGTCGGGATGGCCTGAACGAGGACGAGCTGGCTCCGGCAGCCCGCCCACCCCCACGACGTGGCTTGGGGTTTGGCCCGTCACCCTCAAAGCTGCCAGGGCTGTCACTCGGCGCCTTCCAGCCACTGGACTTGGCTGCTAAAGGATTTGTCAGATCATCCTCCCAATATGGCTGCCAGAGGAATCCCGGTCGGCCGGACGCCGAGACCACGGCCGCCTCG